TACCGTATTAGCAAGCATGGTGAAGAAACTCAAGATCGCTTCCAATTATGATGGCTGGAAGACAAAATGAAATGGGCAAGACTCCCTTCTGAGTTATAGTTCAGATTTAATTTTACTCTGCTCCCCTTCGCAATAGCTGCATGCATTCACACAACGCACACACATATATATACATACATACACAAACACACATATATATGTATGCATACATATATATGCGTACATATACATACATATATATACATACATATTACTCTGCTCCCCTTCGCAATAGCTGCATGCATTCACACAACAGACACACATATATATACATACACACACACATATATATATGCATACATATATATTATTACATACATACATATTTTGTATATATATATATATATATATATATATATATATACACACACACAAACTCTCTCACACACACACATACACACACACACACAGGCTCAACGTTTTGGGGAAAAACAAAGCCCATTTGCTACATATTAAGATACTTATTTACACAACAGATTGTAATGACCTAAAAATAGTCCAGATGGTGCAGCAGTAAACATATGGGGAACCTTTCAAGAAGTGATTCCAACGTGATTTGATTTAAAAGAAATAAAACACAAAAACCAGTTTAGTGATTTTGAGTTTGGGCAGAGCTCCAAAATAAAAAGCATTCGTGCTGTAGCAGATTTATAAAATCAAAACAATTATTTGAAACAGAACTCCTCGCTATGTAAGGTAATTTGACTTTTTTTTTTTAGTCATTGAAAATAACTTTGAAAATTCAGGTGATGAAAGTTGCCTACCATCTATCTTTTTTTTTTTAACGTGTATACGTTGTTTGTCAACCAAAATAATTCTCAAAGTAGCTGATTACAACAGATTGTACTATTAACTTGTTCTGATGGCAGAGCTGCTAAAAGACACATGGGGATACTGTGAAATTAAAGCATCCGTTCAGCTATCATATATATATATATATATATATATATACATACATACATACATACATACATACATACATACATACATACATACATACAGAGAGAGGGCTCATGGGAATGCAATATTTTCACTAGAACACTGGGATCCACCAACCTCAGTCAGACCTGAAATTGTTGACCTACAAAATAAACCCTAAAACCATGCAAATTCATTCCTAATTTTCCCCTAACCTTTTTGAACTTCAACAGCCTTAAAAAAATGTTATTTTTGTCACTATTGCTAAAACATTTTGAGTCTGAAATGATCACTGGGTATTTCCCAGCTTTTGACGTAGTGAAGCTTTTTCAGTAAATTTGCTTGCATATTGTATTTTTTTTTAAAAAAAAAACTGATGAAACTAAACCTGGCTGGTCCTTACTGATATATTAGCACTGACAAAATACAGAAGATAGCCAACTAAGGTAGCTAATGCCACTTATTTTTATTTAACAGGAAATACCAGATCTTAGCTATCTTCATGAAATTTTCAGAGCCAATTAATACTATAATATTTTGCTAAAAGGCATTTAGAAGCCAGTAAGGTATGAATTTTAGTTCACTAAGGCTCCTTCTTGCTTTCCCATCATTTGGGGTTCAATATTATCAAGACCCACCATTTTAGCTTACTGAGTGAAACAGAATGATGGAGAATTTGACTTAATAGCCCAACCCTGTTACAAAGCTATAATTCATTAAAAGACAGTTATCTGAACAACCACATACCTGTCCAGTGCCTTGAATTCACAGCCTGAAATAACTACTAGATAGCCATAGTCTTCCATTTTCACATAAATACAACCCTAACCTTTCAATTTTCTAGTTATAACCTTGAAAAAGTCACCATTAAGTTCTTGTGGCTACCCAATACTTAACAAACGCACATCTTTCTATGGATTTATCCTTTTTAAAATTACCTTTAAAATAATAACAGAAAAAGAAAAGAAAAATATAATTATAATGCAAATACATCCATCATCAAAGAAAAAAAGAGCTTAGACAGCAAAAAAAATACAACAGAAAAAAGGAAAACAAAAAAGAAACAAAATATATTTATCAGAATTAAGTTACAAAGTACTATTATACTTATCTAGTGTAAATATTATTCATGTACATATATATTAGTTTATAATACATTTATATAACTATCATACTTTTTAACCTATTGTATTTTGTAGGAATTAGCTCTGTATTACATTATACTTGTATATACAAAGTTTACCCCATAGGCAATCTGCTCATGCTGTAGATAGCAAAGGATACATAGGTTCGTTAAAACTTTGGTTTGATGAGTAAGTCACAGTGACTGGGTCCATACAGCACACTAAACCATAATCATAAACCAGAATTTTTTGATTGACATCATATGCCAGTGATGGCGAACCTTTTAGAGACCGAGTGCCCAAACTTCAACCCAAAACCCACTTATGTATTGCCGGGTGCCGGGTGGGCGTGGCTGCCAGGTGGGCATGGCTACAGTGGTCATGGCAGACGGGTGGACGTGGCCAAGGTGGACATGACCAGCTCGATGTTGCTCCTGGGGAGGGATGCCTATGGGGGCCAGGCAGGGTTGGGGGAGATCCAGGGGTCTCTGGCGGGTGGGATGGTGGGCAAGAAGCTGGTTCTGGGCAAGGCAAGGCAGGGGCTTGGGCGGCTGCTGCCTGACACCATCGGCCCCCGCACACAAAGGCCAGCAAGAGCATGGGTGCCGGGATGCATCCGGCCACGTGGGACCTCGGCAAGTTAGTGGGTGGCTGGTTGAAGAGGACGGTTACCATCTCCGTGGCATGGCGCACGTGCCCCAGAGAGGGCTCTGAGTGCCACCTCTGGCACGTGTGCCATAGGTTTGCCACTACTGTCATATGCTAATCCCAAGATTAGCAATCCCATCAAAATTTAGAACAGTGCCCTCAGTCCAGTTGTACTCTTTTACAGTCCTCAATATATGAATTTACTTCATTCATAATCACATAATGCAAAGCACTATAAGTGAAAAGTATTGCACCATATATTTATGGTAGTATAGAAATTTTACAGCTACCAGCAACATGTTTTGAAAAAGGGGACTTTATCTGTTATATGCACATAGGCTAACACAGTAGTCTTGAAGTTGGAATAGTGAAATATTGAAGTTGGAATAAAGAAATATGGATGAAAAGAATTAAGGTAGAACAAAGATTGAATATTCCCATCTAAGGCTATGTCCCCATGTACCTTAGCAGAAAGGGAGACTTTATCTCCAAGCATGAAAAGCATTACTGATTGCTGTAGCATTGTGTCTATAAGTATATCAGAATGATTCAAAGAACTAGTCTGTGTTAAATACTTTAGTTTTTCTTTTTGTCATTCCCTTCAAGGTCAGAGATAAGCTAGGAGCTTAGAGGCACATGTTATGCAATTATTATGTATAGGCAAAAATATCTCATTATCAATAGGAAAAATCAGGGTCAGTTCACTCTTTGGAAGAAATATGGAGATATAAAAAATAATACATAAATCACACATTTGGACATTCCAATGATTTGGGGTTGATGTTCAGTCCAAAATAAATGCATGAGATGTTAGCCCTCAGAAAAACAAATATCATTTTACAAGCATTGCTGTTGTTTGTTGTCTTTTGAATAAACAGTCTAATGTAGGCCCTAGACATATATGAAGTACTGTACATAAACTCACTATTTTATCTTGCTTACTATAACAGGTATAGTATTACATTAGCAAGCACATGATTCCTGAATGAAATGAAAACTTTATCTGGGCACAAATACATTGAGACTTTATAGCTACATTTTCCTTATTTACTTATTACACCTGTGACTACTCAGTATATACAAGAGTATTGTTCCAACGTATCTTTTTAATGTTTTCTTTTACAGATCCTTTAATCTCTATCATTGTATCTGAAGGCCCACAATCAGATCTGCACAGGGCAAGATAGAAAAGTATTATACTTGCAATAGTGGCGAAGTATTATACTTCCCATCAAACTTTTCTCATTATTAAAATTGTTTTGACTTCTGGTGACTTCAAATCCATGTTGTTCTCCAGGCAATATATCAAAGTGGCTTGCCACCTTTTCCAAAATGAACATGAACACACAGAGACTAACATATAGACTAGTTCCCAGTGTAGAATACGGTTCTAAGATTTCTTAGTAGTTTCCTACTCAAATTCTAACCTAGTCTTATCATAGTTAGCATGGCACAAAGCAACTACAAGCTGCCAATTTCTTTAGAACATATTAGACTTAAGAAAGAACTAATTATGGACTGGAAGGAGAACAGAAAATAAAAGAAGGGAGGGAAGGGGAAGGAGGGAAGGAAGGAAGGAAGGAAGGAGGGAGGAAGGGAGGGAGAAGGAAGGAAAAGAAGCATAGGAATAGGAATAGGAAGCATAGGAATAGGAAGGACAGGAATAGGGAGAGAATTAAGGAAGGAAACAGGAAGGGAGAAGGAAGGTAATAGATTATAAAGGAGGAAGGGGAGAGTGTCAGAAAAAAGAAGAAAAGGGATAAAAGAAAACAGAAAGACAAGAAGGAAGGAAGGAAGGAAGGAAGGAAGGAAGGAAGGAAGGAAGGAAGGAAGGAAACAGAGAAGCATGGGAATAGGAAGCACAGGAATAGGAAGGAAAAAGGAAGCAGGAAGGGAAAAGGAAGGCAATAGAGAAAAAAGGGAAGTATAAAAGAAAAATGGAAGGAAGGAAGGAAAAAGGGAGGGAGGGAGGATAGGAATGGACAGGTAGGAAAGAGAGAGAGAGCAGAGGAAGAAAAGAGAAAGGAAGGAAGAAAGGAAACCAAAAGGAAAGTAGATAAAAGGGAGGAGGGGGCGAGGCAGACACCATAACGGAGACAAGGCCAGGAGACAAAGCCGAGCCCGGGGCGAGCCTGGCCCGGGCGGAGGGCGAGCGAGGCCCAGCCGGGCGCGCAAGGCCGCCTCCGGCCCCGCCACACGCGTGCGCGACACACCCCCGGCGGGCCCCTCGGCGCTCGGCCCCGCACGCGGCCCTGCTCGGCGGCGGGTTACCTTCCCGTGCGAGTCCCGCAGGCGGCCCAGCTGGGCGGCGGGGGCGCCAAGCGGCGAGGAGGCGGGCTCCATGAGGCTGGCGGGCGGGCCTCGGCGCGGCCTCAGCGGGGCGAGCGAGTCCTATAGAAGTGTTTGTGCCGCGCCAGGCGCCGGCCTCGCACTCGCATCCGGGGCGCCGCGGCCCGAGGGGGAAGAAGCGCCGCTGCCGGGGCCGCCCGGGCAGGCATCTCACTCTCGCATGCTGGGACGGCCTGCGCCGCCGCCGCCGCTGCTCTGCTCGGGCGACGCGCTCTGGGAGGCGGAGGAGGCGGCGGCGGAGGAGGAGGAGGGCGCGCGGGAGAGCCGCTCCCCTCGCCGCGCCTCCCCGCCCGGCCTCGCCGCCCGTGGAGCCCCGCCGGCCGCCCGGCCTTGGCCCGCCGCCTCAGCAACCCGCCGCCAGGCCCTCTGAGGGGAAGGGATGGCCACGGCGCCCAGGGGATCGGACTGCCCAGAAGGCGCTCCCATCGTCCACGGCGGAAGCCTGGGTGGCCTGGAGCTGGGAGTGCCACTGGCAGCCGAGTTAGAGGGAGTCTGGCTGACCCATCATCCGCAGCCAGAGCAAGAGTGCACCCCAGAATTGGAGTTATTCCCAGCTGAGTTTGTCTGCGCTGTGCCTCTCCCATCATCCACAGCCAGAGTGAGGCAGCATTGCAGGATGTAACGTGGGAGCTCAGTTCATGTTATTTCCAACTGAGTTTTATTTGCTCTGTGCCTTTCCCATCATCCACAGCCAGAGTGAGGCAGCACTCCAGTTCACATTATTTCCAGTTGAGTTTGTCTGCCCAAGGCTCGTCCCATCATCCACCGCCAAAGCAAGGTTGCACTCCAGGATGTGAGAGGTTCAGTTGTCCAGCTGAGCTTGTCTGCCCTGTGCCTCTCCCATCATCCACAGCTGTAGTAAGGCTGTGCCCCAAGATGCAACAATGGAATTTGATTCCTGTCGTCCCTAGTGGCCTCTAACCCTTACCCATCATCCACAGCTTGGAATGTAATTGCAGCTGAGTTGGATGGCCTTGCTAAGGAGCCTGTGCCATCATCCCCAGCCAGAGCAAGACTGCATTCTAGGATGTGTCATAGGATTTTGGTTCATATTGTTCCCAGCTTAGTGTGCCCTGTCCCATCATCCACAGCCATGGATGCAATGTTGGACTTTGATTTACATTATTCCCAAGTGGTCTCTGATCCTTTCCCCAACATGCAACATTGGTTCATATTGTCCCCAAGTGAGTTAGATTGCCTCTGAGCCTTTCCCATCATCCACAGTGGAAGCATGGGTACCCTGGAGCTTGGACTGCAATTGCAGCTGAGTTAGATGGCCTCTCTAAGGAGCCCCTCCCATCATCCCCAACCAAAGCAAGGCTGAACTCCCAAGATGTGAGGTTTGGACTTAGTTAACTTCATTCTCATTCTCAGCTGAGTTCCTCTGAGCCTTTCCCATCATCCACAGCCATAGTAAGGTTGCACCCCAGGATGCAAAATTGGACTTTGGACTTTGGTTTGTATTGTCCCCAGCCTCTGAGCCTTTCCCATCATCCGCAGCAGAAATAAGGCTACACATCCCATCATCCTCAACCTGCCAACCTCTCAGATTTCCCAGATTCTAGGCACAGCTGATACCAACTCCAGCAGTGGTCAGCCCTGTCAGGCAGCATAAATAACAAAATAAGTCAGTAAATGTAGTTGTTCAAATATTGCAAAAATAATGCCATGCGATAGATCTTAATGCCATGCGATAGATCTTATGCCAGCTAGAAAGTAAGATCAACTAGATTTCATTGTTCCCACACTATCTCCAAAGCATGCAAGATTATAATCCTTTAATTATGTTAATTTAAAATTACAATAAACATATTGTAATTTTATCCAGTATGTTAATTATAACTTCATATAATTCATCACTGTATTCTACCACACCTTATAAGCCATCTGATGACCTTGGGCCAGTCCCTGTCTCTCAGCCCCAGGAAGGAGGCAATGGCAAACCACTTCTGCATGCCGTTTGAGACTTGTCCATGCAGTCTCCAAGAACTGGACATGATTGAACAGAAGAAAAAAAAAGCCTATACAATATTATATGTTATAGAAGAAAGAATACTATAAAAACGTATATGGGTAAACATAAGTTTTAAAGTAGGTTTTTTTTAAAAAATCCAGCAGATTTCCACATCTTCCACTTGATCAATTCTTCATTTTTATAAATGTATGGATCTTAACCTCACAGGGCACGTTTTAGACACTCCCACTTGATGTCAGTCTGTTGGTTAGGAACGGCCCAGAGTTTGGTGCTGTATAAGATGGGTGGATATATAAATGTTTTCAATAAATAAAATATTATTTCAATTTGTTTAAGTGCCTTTCCTCAGACATTGCCTTCCCAGCCTCCTTTAGGTTCAAGGACATATTTATGATCATTCTTGAAAACATATGTACTGTATACTATGGGGTGGACGGTGCAGATAAATGGACAAACCACTGTATCATGACAAATAGTTTGCAACTTCTACAGATTCTACAAAAGAGCCACAAAACCTAAAGCAGCCTATTGATAGAATTAGGAAGGAACAAAAGCACTTAATGAACCAGATAATGCATGTTTTGCTAACTGAAACTTGTTTAAGGGAATCGTTTTAGAAGTCGGATTTTTAAAGCACTTTACTGTTGAAATGAACTGAGCTTGTGACACAATGGTCATAATTAACTAGAACAGAAACCTTGATTTTAATCCAAGTGAAACTCATTTTAGAGTTCTCACCCCATTGATGGATAAATATTACTAAATAATACATTTAAGAACACGGGTCTCCTAGAGGGAGCATTGTGCTTATTATATAATCATCCACCCCTCACCGACAAGTTGACTTAAAGTTCTTTCCATTTATATAAATCCTATTTTTGTAGTTCTTTTTTTGCTAAATACTTTTCATCTTGCTTTAGCTTTGCAGCATTATGAGAAATGCCCTAATGAAATGATCAACTTTATAATCAGAGAATCTCTCATATGTGGCGTTGAGATGCTAAGGAGACTGAAGCTCCCCAAAATGTCTTGTTGTTTCACAAATGTACTGAAGCAAACAAACAAACCACACAAAAAAACCTCCAGTATTTGTAAATAGCTGTATCCATTACACAGCAAAAACCAGCATGAAGTAAACAAATGAGATACAGTATAGTAAATTTATTGCAAGGCTCACCATTTTGCATCTGTTAAATACAGTGAGCAAGCGCACAAATGGCTCCAGTTGTGTCAATTCATACAACTTTTCACCAGTGGGTGTGCTACTAATGGTTGCTTTAGTGAGTAACAAAATATTCTGCATCTGCAGTCTTGTTCGGTGCTGGCAATTGACAAGCATCTCACAAGGCAAAACGAGTTACTATATTGTCGTTATGATACAGACAAAATGAGACGGTTGCCGAATGCCTCCATTAAAAATTCCATACGAAAAAAAAAAAAAGATATCAGGCAGATGCTTCTCTAAGAAGATGAAACGTATCTTTAGACCAAAATTCAGTTAATTTAACCCATGACATTAATCAGAAGCATGTGGGTGTAGGACTTGTTTGGTCCTGAATAAAGAAGATTAAGGATTCCCATTCCTAGTTTTTCCTTTTGCAGTATGTTTTTCTATTTGTGGGGCGGTGTGTGTGTGTGTGCCATGGCTCAGTGGCACTGAGCTTGTCAGCTAGAAAGCTGACAACCTGGGTTTGAGACCGAGCACCGCACAACAGTGTGAGCTCCCATTATTTGCATTAATCTAGCAGTTCGAAAGCATGCAAATGCGGGTAGATAAATAGGTACCCCTTCGGAGACCACATGACCACGGAAATATCTTCCCACAACAATGACTCCTTCTGCTAAGAAATGGAGATGAGCACGCCCCCTAGAGGTTCAGAGATGACTGGACAGGGGAAACCTTTAGCACAGTGGTTCTCAACCTGTGGGTCGGGACCCCATTTGGGGTCGATCGACCATTTCATGGGGGTCGCTAAGCAAGGCTGTCCGCCTTTTTATTTGTCCACCATTTTTTTTGTCCGCCATTTTTTTCCCCCTTTTCCGGTGGGTGCCTTACCTCCCTTGGGCTGGGCCAGCTGGTGGTCGGCCTGCTCCATCTCTGCCGCTTGCCAGCTACGCCTCAGCCGGCGCAGGGGGTGGAACCACGCATGCGCGGCGCTCCCGGGCAGGGAAAGTCCTCGACTTACGACCGGTTGGGTAGTCCTTGACTTATGACCGGTTTAGTCCTCGACTTACGACTGGTTGGGGTCACGGCATTAAAAAGGTTGAGAACCACTGCTTTAGCGTTACTTTTTTCCATTTGCAATATATTTTTAAATGTACTGACCGGAAGGGCATTCCTCATGCAACTCTCAGCAGTTCAACCAAAGAATCATCAAAGGAGTTACAAGAACAGCTTCAAATCCAACCAATTTTTTTTTCTCCAAAAAGTAAAATCTGATATTCGTTTGATACTGACATCCCTAGACGCAGCATCAGAATAGAGCGGGATACAGATTTCTGATTGATTCACACACTAAGACAGGATAAGGGATTGTATATGGCTGTGATTGTTAACTCAGTGTGACAATGTACCGTGTATATATATATATAGCTTTGTGATCCAAGTGTAGGTATTTTTAATTTATACATGACTAAATTCATACCTTGCCTTTCTATCGAGAGAAGCACTCAACAGATGCTTATTTTCTTATCTATCGTGCTCCAGTAAAAAAAAAAAATCAGTTTTTTCCCCCTTCCATTCCAAAGGAAGAAATTTGGAGAGCTAATTCATTGCATCTGGTTGCAATCAATTTACACACAGGACCTCCAGTTCCAAGTGCACACTCCTGTGCCATCATTTTAAGGAGGAAAAAACTGGACAAGATGTCCTCAGAAAATAAAGTAACTCAACCAGTTTGCCTGGAATGTCATAAATTCATGCAACTACATGACCCTAAGCAAGAGGAAAGGACTCCCCAGATCGCCCCAACACACACAGGCCCTTTTTTTTTGTTGTTGCTTTGAGGTCCTCAAGAGT